TTATAATTTCATACTTGTAACTGCTGGGAATTTCATACTTGCCACATTTGGAAGTTAAGTGAAGGTGAACATCAATAAACATAATTTATTCAAATCATGACCTCATTTGCATAATTTATGAGGAATTGCTAGAATAGCCTTTTTTGTTAAGATAAGGCTGTCATTGGGTGGAGAATATGATCAACTGATATAATCCATGCAAATGAGGCTCTAATTTGTGAAGATTGTATAATTTGTCAACCAGAAGGGTTGACATCATTTGGCGAGGGTATGAGATCGTGGAACTCTTGTTGATGTATCAGATATCGCTAACTTTAAAGCCACCTTTGTTTCCAAGGTTCGGGAAGACGATTTCTGGGACGTTGAGGAAAACGACCGAGTCACGATCAACAACGGCTTCGACAAGAACAAAGACGCGCTGCCAGGATGGCAGGTCGTGGAGAGAGCTCGGTCTAAGCTGGGACTGACCGGCTTTAAAAACTCCGAGCATTTCGTGCACTGGTGTCGGTACAACTGGGGATTCAGCGGACAGGCAAGTTATAAAGTACTTTCATAAGATGCTCCAAAAACTGTTTTACCAGTGAGTCTGACCAGGTCTGAACCAACATGTGTGTAACATACTTCCATATCCTACTATGATCTAGGACATTTCACCACTGTTCCGCTTTTCTAACTTTCCAGACCGAGTTCCTCTCTCAGAAAAAAAATTTCCTGTTTCGCGAGCGCAATCAAGATGTTTTGTCGAGGTGTAAAGAGGGAGACCTGCTGCAGTTTCACAGGGCAGGTTACTCTGACTGGGGTGTGTATGCAGGCCACGGCAGAGTCATCCATTGTACAAAGGACGACGATAGCGAGGTTAAAGTAGAGGTAACGGTGGTAAATACTGTTTGTTTAAAGTTAAAATTTGTGTGACTGGTGACAAGCTCTGAGAGGTGAGAACATTTGCCTTTTGTGTTGGAACAAAAGTTCTACCTAAAATAAGTTATAGTAACTACCAACACATAAAAGTTTCATGATAGACGGCGCCTTTTTATTAT